GATGCCCGCCTAAAGTACACGTGAGCCCCAAACAGAGCGTATGAAATATAGGCACTCAACAAGAGGTATGCGTAAAATCCATCCGCAAACCATGGCTTTAATGAGACACAAAAGAGAAGCATGAGGCTCAGCCCTGCGGTGGAAATGCCAATAAAGAGAGGAATAAAACCAAACCGTGCAATATCGCACCAGAAACATACATGCCCGGGGGGAAGTGGGGCTGGTTGTACCATCTTACAAATGGGACAATTGCTAGGCACACGCTTCTGCTTCTGCGTCTGCTGGTGTTGGCTGTTTTGCTCGTGTGGATCATCCTTCTCATCGTCTACATGATTATTAATATTATTACTGTGATGATAATTACTCGTTTGCTCCTTCATATCCACCTCTGTTGGCACCTCTCTCCCCTCCGACCCCGCCTGCTCCTGATTCACCCTCACCGGAATTATAAGCTGCAACGTAGGGGTCGGCATCCCAGTGAGCAATTGACTCAGACGCGGCTCGTATTTCCATGGCAGCTGTCGTATAGCGTGTAGCCACATGTAGAATCCAAAGTCCAAAAGAACTAAAATGCAGGCAAGTAAAATCCAAAAAATCGTTATTGGACGGCAGATGTAAATATTGTTCGTCGTGTGTGCCGCAGAGCATGACATGTCTGGGCAGTTGGCGTTAAATTTTGCGTGGCGCCAATCCGGGCAATTCTTCGCCGTCGCAGCGGCATAAAAAGAAGAAGATAATAATGATGATGATGGAGTTAAATTGGATGTTAAAAACGAGACGTTAAAACGCATGCAACGGTGCGTGATAACACACCATGCACAGTCCATCGATGGGCTCAAGATGCCATCGGATGCGTCAAATACACATTCAGCACAACTCTTGTATGAAGCACACGCATCCGCGCTATGTGCATTAGAAGAAGACGCAGCAACAGCAGCTGGAGCTGGAGCGGAAGTCATGTCCATGGAAGCATCATGCATAGCCGTCACCGGCAGGATGAAGCCTATGCCACCCCCGCCACACACCGTCGCTGTGAACATCACTACTAACAAAAAAATCCACTCCAACGGATGATATTCACTGCGGAGTGATGACACGTGTGCGTCACGCCCATACATGTCTGACTTCCCCTTCGGTGAGTTCATGTCTACTTGATAAATACACACACACACGCACACAGTTCGTCTCCTTCTTATGCCTCTTCCTTTCCAATAAATAAATTCCTTCTTGTAGTAAAATAAAGCGTTGATGCTTACAACGGCTACCTTGTAAGAAGTCACCCTGCGCCCCTCCCCTCCCCTCCCTTCCCTTCCCTCCCCCCGGTCCCACACAATTCACCTTTTGCCTGCTGTATTCACCCGTGCAGCGAAAAATCTTGGAGGCAGCAGCAACAGCAGAAAATAAATCACATTGCAGAAAAAGAAGAACGGGAAGAGAAGAGAAGAGAGAAAAAAAAAAAAAAAAAAAGTGTTATGAGCATGCAATAAACATACATATAAAAGTGAGAAAAATACCTCCCCAGCCCCCCACAAGGAGGTACATATATACATACATATACATATATACATGCACACACAAATAGAGAGAGAAAGAGAAATAATAATGGACACGACGCAAAGAAAGCAACAGTAAATAAAAGAAAAAGAAAAAAAAAAAAAAAAACTAATGAAAACACAATTCCATCATTCACATTCTCTCTCTCTCTTCTTCATTCCTTCCCTGGAGGTTTATAAAATTTCCCTCACAATTACCTCGTTCCCCTCCCCATACACACGCACACACATAATTTCAACGAAATCCCACCGCAGGGGCCCTGGATGCACGTCTCCCGGATGCTGCTCCTGCTTTTCGCAGCTGCGACGCCTCCGGCTTTTTCCTCTCCGGGCCCTCACTCGAACGCGGCCTCGAAAGACTGCTGCGCCTCGTGTGGTCAGAGTTACTGACGCCACCGACTGCGCCGGCCTGCCCCAGTTCCTCATCTATCCAATATTCGGCATTCCATCGCCTGCAGCTCATGAACAAGACTGTCACCAGCACCATTAGGCCGCTTATTACAAGCACAACAATGGCCAAACCGCACATCAAACCGCAGAAACGCCTATTGAACGAAAGTACATTCGACGGGTCCTTCATGATGCTCGACGGGTGAATTCCAACAAAGACGGTGCGCCGCCGCAGTGGATGATTCCCGGAGCGTCCTGCGAGCTTCGCCAGGACACGCTGCAGTCCAGTGAAACATCCCTGCGGCAACGTCAACTGTGTCACATGCCCAGCAGGACTCTTTTTATAATCACGTGACGGCATCGACCACGTCGCAGTGAAGTGCACGGCGAGTTCATCCGGGTCGTCGTTGAACCCTGGAAGCAGCGAGAAGTAACTCATTTTACACGCATCCACGTCACGCCTTTCAGGCACCACCGCCTCTGCGTCAAGATCCCCCCAATTCAATAACTGTTGTTGCAAGTAAAAATGACAGAAGCATCGTGAAAGATCAT